AGCCCTGAGGAACACCGCTGGTGACCGGTTGCCAGCCAGATGTAGCCCCGTTCACTACAACCCTTTGAGCTCTGCCCTTCAGCCAGTTCTTCACCCAGCACACCGTGAAGCCGCTCATCCCACAAGTTGTCCACAAGTTGGACAACTTGTCCAGAAGGATGCTGTGAGGGACAGTATCAAAAGCCTTACTAAAATCCAAAAAAACTCCATCCACTGCCTTCCCTTCATCCACTAGGCGGGTGACCTTATCATAGAAGGGTATCAAATTAGTTAAACAGGACTTTGCTTTTGTGAACCCATGTTGACTGTGCCTGATGATTGCATTATTCTTTAAATGCCTTTCAGTAGTACCCAGTATAAGATATTTGATTAGCTCCTTCTATGAGCAAATACATTGCTGCATTCTACATAAAGTTTACTTTGTAGATGAAGAAGCGATACTTGTTAACCCAGTATTTTCTTTAACCCTTAGGAATACAGTTGGATACCAAGAATAAGCAAATTATGTTTCCGTAATACAGAGTCAAGTACACACAAGTTTCCCTCCTGCCTAAAAATCTCTGTGTCTGTTTAGCTCCAATCCTTTGCTGACTTTTCATCTATCTGTAGTGATACAGATATCTATAGATGTACATTTAACCGTTCTGTTATAGATGGTCTGAATGGCACCTCTTTTTCAAGCCTCACCCACAGAGGCTCCTAAAATACTGGACCTGAGATGTTGTAAATAACTTGTACTTTATTTTCTCCATTAAAAGGGACAGATAGCTTATAAATTTAAGATTGGGCCATAGGTCTAAAAAACATAGCTAACTTTTCCCCTTCAACCTCTTCATTCCTTCATCCCTGATTACAGTTCATATTTTGGTTAGCTGGCCAATATTCTTAAGGCAAGTGTCCTGGTTTCGGCAGGGATAGAGTTAATTTCCTTTTTAGTAGCTGGTACAGTGTTTTGGATTTAGGATGAGAACAAAGTTGGTAACGCACTGATGTTTTAGTTGTTGCTAGGTAATGCTTACACTAGCCAAGGACTTTTTAGTTTCCCATGCTCTACCGACTGAGAAGGCTGGAGGTGCACAAGAAGCTGGGAGGGGGCACGTTATCTCAACCCACGACTTTTTCTCACTTGTGCTCTTCCCACCGGGTGGGGGGGAGTGAGCGAGCGGCTGCGTGGGGCTTAGTTGCTGACTGAGATTAAACCATGACAGCAAGGTTTTATAACTTTTATCTAACATTTCTTAATTGCTGTGGGGACGATATGGCAATATAAGCAAGCAGATGATTGTCATTATAACAGCAAGAGACAGTCACTGATCACAAAAACTTATCAGGCTGCTAGAAATAGCTAATAAGGAAAGAAAAATAGATTCAACTGAATTTCTCTAAATTTAAATCCCCTCAAAACAAAAGTATCGGATCACAGCCAGTAAGATAAAGTGTGCTAATATTACCCCAATCTAGTAATGAAATTTGTCAATAGAAAGGAAACTATAATGTAATCAGCTCAAGGAAAGCAAAACTGTGTCAGGTCCATGCCGATATATTCTCCTCAGACCTCAACAAGAGAGTGGTAAAACAGTCTATTTCATTCTAACTACAGTGTTTGATAAGAATACCATGCATTTTCATGCAGAATATTTTTAATAAACTTGTCTGACAGAGTTTATATTTTTAACTCTGCTACTCCTCTTGGAGACATTTTGGGGTGTGATGT